AGAACACTGCTGTATTATACAAATTACTTGATTGGTGTTATCTTGGACTCTTTTCTGTACAGACTTTAAACCATAGAATTACACAGTGCAAAGGATTAAAAGATCTCATGTAACACAAATAGTATTTAAAAAAAGACACAATCCACTTTACAATAGTCTATTTAGAATATAAAGAAAGTATGTTTTGGTTGTACTTTTAAACACAGCATGTTGTATCAGGTGAATGTTGTTTATAGAGTGTGCATCTTCATAAGCTTTTGGCAACGTGTTTTTGTTTCTGAAGAGTCAGAAACTATAAAAGTAAATTATGCTAAAGAATATGGGAGCAGGATTATCACTGAGCAGGAATATTTACGTTTCTCTTTGCAAGGTAGGCAACAAAATCTGTTGAAAGCAAAATATAAATAATTTTATAGAGTAACATCAGTATGCACGATGGAAAAGTTTTCCACCAGCTGGCCTATGCTCCTGAGGAAAGGAGCTTGCCGTTATAGAAGTTAAAGCAGCTAAGAGTATAATACCTTTAGTACTCCTGTTAAATAAATATGGAACATGAACTTAAATTATGCCCAAGTAGTTTAAGTATATTGAGAACTTGTACACTTTGTGGCCTAGTCTTTATAATCAAAAATACTGTTGAATACTCTACAGTTTTCTTACATAAAGTAATAGTTCTTAGAACTGACCTGTACACCACTTACTATTTTTTTAAGGACAGCAGCGACAGTTACGTTCTAGTAATCACCACTCTGCATGTTATCAAAGAAAAGTATACAAAATACATCCTTTTAGTGTTTTTACTATTTGGATTTAAGCAGAGGAGACTTGTGTGCCAGTTTTCAGTCTGTGACAAGCTTCAGGTTCTGTTGAGATGCTGAACAACTTGAAGAATGTGCTCTCTCTACATATCCTTGACTTAACCAAGTTTGAAACCTATTATTCAACTGAGCACTGTAATAATTCTTCTGCCTGTTACCTTATTAAATCTCTCAGATTATTCCATCAATGTATGGAAGATTAACTCCAAACAAAACTGTTGGGCCAAGTGGAGAGGGTGCCCTATACAAGCATAATGAAAAACCGCATAAACATAACATCATATATTGCAGTCATCTCTGTATCCTAAAAAGAAAATTAAAATTTATATTGTCATTAAGTTATATAAATTCTGTACTTAGAATCCTTCTAAGACATTAAATTCCAAGTGTTGAATTCCAGGGTGCAAAGTGCTATCCTAGATGTCAACTACTAAATGCTGAGTAAAGGGGATAATAATTTCTCTCAGTCTAATGGCGTTACTTCCATTATTAAAGCCCAGGTTGCTATTGTCTGCCTTCTCTGCCAAAACACAGTGCTGGCTCACATTCAGCTTGCTGCCCCACCAGGACACCCAGGTCCTTTTATGCAGAACTGCTCCCCAGCTAATCCATCCCAGCCTGCAGTGTTGTCAGGGGTTCCTCCTTCCCAGGTGCAGGACTCTG